CTGCGCGCGCTCGAGTCTGTGTGTCCTGACTGGGTTCGGTTTCTGTTTATGTAGGTCCCAGTGCGTGTTCGTGGGCGCGTCGGCACATGAGTGGTTGCTACGCTGACTAGGCGGTGCAGACAGTCGATGTCCGATGAGTCAGCTTAGTGCGACGTGTTTGTGCGTATGAGAAAAAAGACAAGCCTCGCGATCCAGTGAGCGGCTGTGAGTTGAACAGTCTAGTATGTGGGTGACTGGGCTTGGGTGACTGGGCTTGGGTGACTGACAGGCGCACAGAAACAGTGACCAACGCACCAGAACAAATAAAACTTATTTTTGCACTACTCATAAGGTTGCCGAAAATTCGTCTTCCTGAACGCTCAGCAACCTTATAAATAGTGCATTACAAATATACATGTATCGCGGTATTTTGAATAGCGTAGTGACTGAAACATGAGACGGCCTGGTGCAGCGCATTCAGTTGCCTGGATACATCATAAACGACAGATTCAGACGGGTTCCAGGTAGATCTCTCACAAATCCAAGTTAGTTCGCAAATGAGTGTATTTCGCTAAAACCTATTTCTATGTATTCGCCATATAGCTCATGATCTCCCCAAATTTGATGATGCTTCTAGATGGTTCCAGTAACCTGACACCCGGCCAGGCTCTCCACACTCACCACGTACTCGTGAGCAGATCAAAATGAGATGCGCACTTCTTTCAAATATCATTTAAAAACATCTCAAATTTTGTACTTTACAGATCCACCACCCTACCATCGTCGTTCCGTATCATTCTAGCTGTCCTCACAAGGCCAACACTGTTAATTCCAAATTACTGGTTTCACCGTGATCTTTATCTTTGGTCCAAAACTCCTTGTTTTATTCTCAATAAAATCTATGTTAATCCTATTCCAGTACATCTTGATGAAAAAATCGAGAAACTCCAACTCGATTGGATCGGTCTAATGGAATAATCGTTGACATCCTTCGTTAATGCCTGTCCCTATGCATGCTTCCTTTAAATGGCAGCTGCATTTGACACGGAATAATAATCTAATATGCACGTGAAACAATACACAGTCTCTTGTGATGAATAATCCAGACGTTTTAACGCAGTCTACCCCAGACAGTAAATGTCAGTTTTGATGCTACAGACCTGTCCTGGCTATGAAGGACTTGTTGAAGATGTGACATTAATTGCTCACGTTTGTAACGTAATCGAATTCCGTCTGATACCGAGATCTACAGTCGGGGGTTTACTCACTACTCACAAATCAGCAGTAGACGTGTGTGCTTGGTGAGCAGAACCCCGCCCAGGTAGCTAGGTATTGGGAGAATCAGCTCCGAACGTAAATGGACTACACAACTATCGATGGAATGACCGTCTTCGTTGAAACAGATTCACCTGCCCTTGAAAGACGAGTTCTATTATTAGTATCACTTTGTGGCCCGCCTAGAACCTTCCACGTGAGCTTTGTAAACAGCCTGTTTTCGGCTGCACAGGACACGCGTCAGTGATCAATAGATCAGCTGATTTGCACGTTCATTGGCTAAGCGCATCAGGCTATCAAGTGGCTATCCAGACTCGGGTTCACGGTATTAGGAAGGCATTAAGAAAACTGTGGTCCACAACATTGTGTTTGGAACAAAATGCAAGAACTACTCTTGTATAACCTTATTCATGATTTTAGGAGGGGCGTGATCTTGATACATACATGATCTGTCTATCCTGACCCAATGGAAATCTGTCTATTGAGATTGTATACTACTCATGAGGCCACTGAAAACCCTTCAACAGCCCTTCTTGAACCTGATCAGTTAGGCTTCTGCCGCCTACTGTGCTGTGTTCCTGCCATCTGTCAATGTTCGCGTCCTGGATTCGTAAGAACTTTCGGCAATAAGCGGGTCATGTATAAAGAATACTTCGAAGAGTTTTCAGCAAGCTTGGCAGTATTTTCCTTCATGGAAATGTACTGCGATATCTCAAATATCGTGCCAACTGAAACATGAGGCGGTCCGTGTGGAGCACATTCAAGTGTAGAATATCACAAACGAGAGATTCAGTTGAGTCTCTCGTGAAAACCAAATTGATTTGCAAATGAGTGTATTCCTCGAAAAGAATACTTCATTTCGGGACAGCATGACTTGAAAAAAGTCCTCATATCGCTCGGCTCGGGGTATACACATGTAAAACCAGATATAAGATACGGAAGGGACCTTGGTTCCTCCATGTGGGACCCTGAAAGACAGGGTCAGATTGACTTATTTATCAAACCACCTGCCGCTGACCTTGTGTCAGATTGGTTATATCAGAACGGTGTGCGTAAACGCTGGGGTCGGATTGCAGGGTGAGTATGTGTGGATTCGTAAATAGTAAGCTACAATGAGAACTTCGTCAACGTGCATCGTTCTTTAAGAGAAGGGGTTCCACATTGCACCTGGTTGGCTGTAATCCAGGACCTCCCTGGTGCTCTGATTAGGTCATCGATTCCTTAGTCGAAATTTTCCCACGTTTTTGACCCATTCCCCCATATTTGAAGAACTTTACTGAAACCGAATAGTTCGTGTCACTGAGAGCTTATCCCTTCGCATTCATTCATATATGGGGGGCGAGATGGCCCAAGTGGTTAAGAATTCACTGACCGCAAGGTTCGTGGTTCGAATCCGACCTCTGCCTGTCAACTTTCCCAGTCTAGGCTTGGGCAACCTGGCAGTATCCCAGCCCTCGTGCAACCTTCGGGTGGCATGGCAGTTAGGCGCCGAAAGGGTGTTACAGCTGGACGATTCGTATACAGGCATCACTTGATTATTGCTAATTCAACTTGGATTGGCTGTGTTGTATTAGGGTTTAAATCCGAGTGCTCTCCGCCCGCCAGGTTGCGCAGCTCACCAGTGTGTGAGTAACGTAACGCTGATGTAGTCTTTGCAGGATAGGTAGGTATAAATTTAGGTGAACAGCTGCCATGCAGCTCAAAGGAAACGCAAGGACCGAGCCTAGACAAGAGTAGCCAAGAAACTGACTCCGGGGCTCCTAACACAGGCTATCTGATCAACATCGTATCGACTAAAACAAGATTGACTATTTGTTCTCTCTTGAAAGGTTCCGGCTATAGACAATTTGTCTATCTCGCATACGGGTTAACAAGAGGATGAGATTGTTTTGAGATGAAAGCTTCCCCCTTCGTGGTACTTGATTCCCTCCCCCACTGGGCGCTAATCTCTCATCTTGGAAACCGCCCTTCAGGGCAGCCAATAACGTTCAGATTCCCCTAAACGAAAAGGTTTCATCCAAGTGTGGAACACGTGTCCTCTTTACCGTTCCATCCCATCAAACAGTGGATTAGCATATTTGAAGTACCCCGTTCGACAGAATGAGATGATCACCCGCATTCCAAAGCTTACTGAAACTCTCATGGTCTTTTACCGTAAACCTGTTGAATAAATTCAAACAGTTTTAGGTTTGAACCTATCAGGATCCCCTTAGATGACGTTCGCAAAGTTTCCAGTGACTAAGCCCTAATTGCGGTTGTCGCTGTTGTATATCTGAGCCCCCGAGAAACTTTGATATATTCCTCCCAAAAAATACATTGTTACAGGGATTTCCACCTCTTTGGGCTGCCCCTTAAAGGACATCAAAGTTGTTTCTTCCTTGGAGGTCAATTGCCGGTTGTACGCCGCAAGGCAGTAGGAGAGGTCAAATTTTTTTGTTGACCTCTTCTTGGGCGTTTTCCACCTAGAGGTTTCAACCGTACTTTGAACTAGGAATGTGGGCAGTCGCACGGTCTACAACCATTTTTTAGCAGTCCAACAACAGCATCGATTTCATCTTCTCATTTGACTCCTTTTCAGGTGATGAAGTTACACGTGCAACTCACGAATGCCTCGACGAACGTCGCTGCCAACGACAACCACTGTCGCAATTTGATCGAACATTACGTTGATCAGTTGAGACTCATCGGAAGTCGGGCGAGTTCCGCCCTCACCTTGACGGAACATGTCAATAATGAACTCCACTCACTGATTCGACACAATCGAATGGTTCGTGTGAGCTTCCCGGGGACGATACCTGGAAACAAACTGGACACGTGAGTTTATCCACGTTCGTCCTTTGAAAAGTTTGGAAGCAACAACGCTAGAAATTAGTTGAACCAAGAGACTACCGACTGGAGAAGCTCCATTGCGTGCAAAGCGTTTTCATTCATAAGCATTTCATCCTGAACACAATGTGCGGCAAAAGTGAGCAAGCCTCCTATCTAACGAGTTAATTTTTAAGGGAAGTAGCGAATTCCGAAAGACATTTGCGTACAGTTTGTGTATGTCTTTGGTACGAGATTAATTATTCCAATGAACTAACAGCAAGTAATCGTTTGCACGTTAAAGGCGATACCGAGAGTTGATTTGCAAACTGTCCAAATTCGACCGACGCCAAGGTCACCTACAGTTTGAATTAGTCAATATCTGAGCATCGATAGGTGGAACGAAACGATATCGACACATCGAAGGCGTCGGACATTTTGACTGCCACACACAGTGAATTGTCATTGGACGAAGTTCTCGAAGTTCAAGTCAGGATTTCATCGGAAGCTGGTTCATGCGAAACGAAAGTATTTTTCGCGTTTAGTCGTAGGCCAAGCTACGCAGCACTGGTCACAAACTTTCAGCTAGGCACTGCAATTCATCATGTTCATTGCAAACAATAAGCAAGCGTTGGCGAACATGAGAATATGTCTGGCGAACCACACTCTGTATCAAAACTCACGATAATCAGAGAATGTCCATCAGGCCGTTTCTCGAACTGTACGCAAGCATCCTTGTTTACGCGAGTCTCATCCAAGGTAGATTGAAAAAAAGATGGGACAGGAGTTCACAGAGTGAGAAATTTGGAGTAACTGGAAGACAATCCATCCTTCTGAATATTTCCTTTCATTTTGTCGTGTGTGTGTGTGTGTGTGGAGGGGCGAGTTGGCTCAGGTGGCTAGAGCGCGAATTTACTGACCGGAAGGTCCGTGGCTCGAACCCAACCTCCGCCTCTCGACTTCCCCTGTCTAGGGTTGGCAAACCTGGCAGTATCTCAGCCCTCATGCTTCCTTCGGGTGGCATGGCAGCTAGGCACCATAAGGGTGTTACAGTTGAACTGTTTATTTCTGTCTTGTGGGCTTTCAACACAGCGGATGGACTCTCATGGACAGCCTTTTTCGTAAAAAAATTGTTCACAATAGTTCTTGCTTGACTCGGTCAAAGGCCCTCACGACGTCCATGATGTGGGCATGGAGTGGCTGGCCATGTTTGTAAGTTCTTTCCTGAAGCTGACGTGCAGCAAAAATCAGGTTCATTGTGTCGAGACCAGCATAATATAGTTCTTTGGGAGGTGTGATTTCTGCTCGTTACGTATGCTTCAGTCTCTCATCCGCACTCTGAAGCGTTTGAGTCAGTTCAACGCCCGTATTAGGCTTTAAAACAGTTGTAAACTTCCTTGTACTACCACTGGGCAGCAAATTCTTTAAAGTGCTTACCTCTCCTCGTCCATCATGCGTCCATGACGTGGTCGGGTTGCCGCGTCAGATCACAGCATCCCATAGTTGCTGCTTCTTGAACTGGCGACTGAAATGGACAATGAATCTGGCTTGCGCTTCAGCTAACAGCTTATTTTTGCACTGGTTTTGTCATCAACCCCGTCTAGTTCTCTCCGTCCGACCAGATTTCATCGTCATTATCAAAAAGATTCGATTCCTGAGAGTAGCTACTGAATGCCCAAAATCTTCACTAGATGCTGCTCTCAATATGAAGCTCGAGACCGACCAGACAGCGCGGACAGCGTTGAACCAAGGTCACAAAATGCCCCTCCAATAAAGTAACTTGAGGTCGTTGTACTTTCACACTTGCTCACTCGCGCTCGCATTATTTTTCTCGCAATAGAGCCGTTGTGTTCTTTGTCAGTGAATCTTTATCCGGCATTGGGTGAAAGGAGGAAGGCCTTCGCTGCGGAGTTATTTATTAAAAAATGCCAACTGACCAGTTGCAGACTATTGGACAGGGAAGCAAATCTCCCATTTGCATCTTAAATTACAAAAACTGAACATCCATCTTCTCCTGAACGCGTCTTCTTGAACTTTCCTGGATATTTATTAACTCCAGTCACTCATTGTTCAGTCCGAGCAAATGCTACAAAGCAACTCCACAAATTCCGCTACAGATCTCCCCTTTTCAAGAGACAAAGCGAATTTCCAAGTACAACATGCACTAATCGCATGCCTCCTCATCAGTAGTATCACCGTACAGGGTGCTGGAGCAGGAACATCAGCCGGAAATAACAGATTGGCGTAACGCACTACTCATAAGGTTGCTGGAAATTTGTCGTCAGCAACCTTATGAGTAGTGCAATACGAATATACACGTATCGCGGTATCCCGAATATCATAGCGACTGAAACATGAGGCGGCCTGGTTCAACAAATTCAGTCACCTGGAAACATCGTAAACGAGAGGTTCAGTTGGGTTCCAAGTGAGTCTGTCGAAAAACCAAACTAGTTTGCTAATGAGTGTTTTTCGCTAAGATTGGCGTCTAAGTCAGATATAACAGTCATCATCAAGTTGCGCTATGCTGGTTGGATGGTTGAAGGATGCCAGTGCAGGGCCCAGTTGATGTTCGTACGTCACCTTGGATTTCGTTACTTTGAGACCATTTGTGTGCCCACGGACCCAGTTGGCGTCTTACAAGAACTGACTTTAAGCTTCGTTTGGACAAGCTGTTGGTCTGTTACAAAGTCAGCTCCTTGCATCACTCTTGTGATGCAAACGTCTCGCTGGTGAGCGAAAGCCATAGTGGCTGCCGTGTAGGTGTGGCGATACGTCGCTGTCCGATTCACCTAACAAAGCTGGGACATTGCGAACGGCCACGATCGACACTCGCCTTGAGGTGAGGTATGCACTTTAACATAAAAAACATCACAAACGAGAGATTCAGCTGGGTTCCAGATGAGTCTGTCGAAAAAGCAAATTAGTTTGCAAATGAGTGTATATTCGCTAGTGTTTCTGGTCCTCTTTTGAGCGTGGGGCCGAGGTGCATGCACTGATAAGATTTGCATAGGTGTGGCCTGTCAATCTCAGGTGCAACGAAGCAAGACGTGTGTGTCAGTGTTGCTAGACATTTTATTGGTGTAGTCAGACATAGCAAAATCTACTCAATGATCCCGTTTTCCTCCTACCAGCTAGCCAATCTAGTAGAACACGCACCCATAAACCAGTTTCTCGAAGAATTCCGTGGTCAGTCCTTCGCAGAGAGCCACGATGTCAATACCGTATCTCTCCGGTTCCATTGCAAACAGGGCACTACAGCTTACAGGACGGGCAGCCTAGTTATCAGTTTGACCAACCGAATTTCAGACGTTCTGCAGGCCAATGATTAGCTTTCACTTGGGACTGTTATACCACTCCTAGTTGCCAAGGCCAGAAGGAAGCGTGACTGCCTGACCCCAAGAGATCCAGCCTTAGGCCTGGGAGGCTTGTCGCTACCGTTAGTATCAGTATTTGTTCGACCGTAGTTACTCAACCCGGATTCGATCACGACCAGTCACACAAAATGGTCCGCTAACCTGTCGTTTCAATATCGATTCAGTATTAAACAGGCCGTGATGAAAGGCTGAGCGTTTTTTTTTCAACTTTAATTAATTTTCCTTTCACCCCGCACACAAACAGCCTGGTTGTAGTCACCTTGCAATTAACGAACCAAGTCAAACGTGAAACGACGAGGACTTGTGATTTATTCCCTATGAAGAATTTGCGAAGTGAGTTCACCTTTCAAGGACAAAGTTGTTTCGTTCATATTTCGATAGAATTTTTTGCAGATCTTCTTAAGAACCCATCCGTCTTTGTAGGATGATTCCGGGGACCATGTTACACTTTTACTGGTGAAGATATCGATTTCTGTTTGACTTTGACTACTTATATGTGTTAAGCAGTAGGAGACGTGCAACCCCAGAACCCTGGAGATATCCTCAATTTCGAAATAAGCAACAAAGTCAAAATAGTCTATAAATGTCCCCCAAACAAGAATTTTGAAACATACAATGAACAGACAAACCAGGTGTTTGAGGCTTATCGACGGATAGCGTTCAACTCCGGCCGCCTGCCAATTCATTGATGTTTGTTGTACAGGTAGTACCTACACGAGTAAGGATCAGCCTAGATGGAGTCATTTTCATCATCTAGTAGTCTCTTTTCCGTCATACTGCCCAACCGAATAGCTACCTCCTTGCTTGCTTCACGTAATGCCACACCAAGGGCGTCTGGGATCCCCGTCACAGCATCATTATCATCATCATCATCATCATCATCATCATCATCATCATCACCATCATCATCATCATCATCACCACCATCATCAACATCATCATCATCATCATCATCATCATCATCACCATCATCATCATCATCATCAACATCAAAGACAGCAACGTCAGTAATGGCACTGATTCTTCACTGCCGTACAACCATAAGGTTCGTCTAGTTACATATATATATTTGTATTAAAAGCCCTGCAGTGAAGAGAAAAAGAGTGGGTGAGGGAGGGGACCTAGTGCTGGCCTATGTCAAGCATACTGAGGTGCCTACACCTCCAACCGCTCAATCAGACAATCTGGAAAGAAACTGACAGCACGAACGCCACTGACATCAATTAGCGGCCATGTCTTGCAACGTCTCCAGCCAAGCACTGACGGAGTTAAGGGGACCCCAGCCTGGAAGGCGCAAAACATCAACAACACGCAAACTCCTCGTGATCTCTTTGACGCCCTTCTGCCAAGTCATGTGCTGTCCAACTCGCGGTTAACGCCATCCTGAAGGAGGCACGGAGAACAACACTCGTCTCGGTAGACGGTGTTTCGGCATGTGTAACACATAACGGAGAAATCGCAGTCGATGATGCTGGATGTTTTCCCGGATTGAGGTGCCTGCAGCACAACCAAATACCCGTTTTCTAATCACCTCGTTACTAACACGCTGACGCCGTCCGAAACCAGCCACGCTTCTGAGGCATAGGTGGTCGAAAACCTGAAGACGCCTCACATCAACTACCCGAAGAGGCCA